ATTCGTTACATCACTACTGTACATACATAAAATATAGCAAAAAATGGAAAATGTTTTTTCAACTTTAATACCCTGTAGAACGAAAAGGAGCAACAATTGACTAAGGCATGTTCGGCTCAATCGCTATATTTTGACGTTAACAATCTGCCATTAAGCTTTGTACCATTATTAATGACTCACTCTGTAAGTATAGAGAAAATATTGTAATCAGAAATACGTCCCGAGTTTTTTTGGGTTAAAAGTTGTGTTATATTTTGTAGATATTCTTCCTGGTTCCTGTTTTTTATTTACTGGGTGTTTTGCGACTTGTGGAAAGAATAAAAAATCGTGAAATAGGCACACAAAAAAATGTGTTTTTCATAATACTTTGTAATAGAGTATTTTAAACCCGCTGAAGACTGTAGAGCCATCAGACATGCTTCATAACGTCAGAATTTTTCCCTAATCTCAAAATATAGCTCAAATCAGTCGAAATCTTGATTTTTTGTGAAAATAGTTAAGATCTTGAAATTAACATTACAGACCTGTTAATAGGAGATTTTCACTGATTTTGAGCTATTTTTTCAGGTTAAGGAAAAATCTTGACGTGATGGATCATTTCATCGTGTTCAGCGGGTCAAAATACTGAGGGGTATCATACTCTGTGAAACGGTATATGCATTCTTTTTTTTGTGAGCTTCGTATGAAAACAACAACAAATAACAGTTAATCATGTGCAGTGTTTGTACATGAAATTTCAAATAAAAAAAAACAATATGGCGAACTTCAGAAAATAAAGTTGATTATCGCTTCTCAAAAATAGTTATAGGTAGTTAAAAATCTGACCATTATATTGAGAAAGGTGTCTTATGCCAAGAAACCGATTTTATTAAATTACCTTAATAAACAAATGTTAGGGCGCAGAAAAAACATTTTTCAGTTCTTCTATTGTATTCCAGGAAGAAGTTAAAAATAACTTACTTTCAACGAAAGTCGCAAAAAATTGCGTAATTTTTGTAATTAAGCCACCCTGTATATTTAATAGTTTATCGTATGCTTATAATCTATTGTTAAATAGTTCTTCCAAATTGTAATATTTTTTCCATTATTATTGTTCTTGATGTTCTTCAAATATTTTTTATTTGTAAATACCATCACATGTCAGGCCAGTCTTAAGGTAGGTGGTATTGGCAACCACGGGAACACTATTAAATTAAACTTCTTTGGTTTTCCAATAAAATCACAGAATGATGACTGTTCAAGAAATATCACAAATATTCCATCAACTTGTGTTTATTCACGTCTAGCTCGTTATGGAATTCCCTTAATAACAGCTTGTTGAACAAAATATATTTCCATTGGCTTTAACGATCTCATTCTTCTGAGGAAGTTTATTAACTTTCCCATATTGCTCATTGTATACCTTTTCAAAGAAGCAACGAAGATACGCGTACATACACTGAGACAACAGACCTTGAAACTAATTTATGTAAATGTAACCATGTATAGCAGCCTTATTTACTTCTCAAAATCTATTTTGCATACAAACGTTAAAATGGATAAATAAATAAAGCGAATTAGTGATAAATATTATTACGATAAAAAGTAGGTATCTATATAACAACTAGATATTAATGATAAATGCTTCATTCGGTATTTATGTAAAGTGGAGGTGCTTTTATATGGTGATTTTGTTTTCAAGTTGTTAAAAGGAAAACCCTTTTTTAATTAATTCGTTTTGACCCGGGGTTGGAATTTGAAAAAAATGGTATAATAATAGTCTTTTAATTAATGTAATTATAGACAGCGCGGTATTTCTATTTTTTTACTCACTATTAACCAGAGCGCGAAAATAGATTTCAATTTCATTATTTTTATCGAAAAAATGTGCAAGTATATCGTGAAATCAATAGCAGATATAAACTTTCTAACTAAACATTGTGAACATTTATAACATTCTAATTTATTCCGAGATTTATTCTGTAATATTTTAACAACGTGTTTCGTTTAGTTTTGGAATCCTGTATCAGTTTCCGTTATCAACAGGTTTAATGAACATTTTTTTTCTCTTGAAAATACAGGGTGGTTCCGAGGTAATGGGCCAAAATTCATGGGTAGATTCCCCAAGCAAAAATATTGCGATTTAGCCGAACTTACCTTAGTTCAAAAGTTGATAGTTAAAAAGATACAGGGTGTTAAATGTAAAATATTATTTCAGTTTTTTTTAAATTTATTCTTAACAAATGCAAATATCCTCACAAAGTTTTGAGGATTGGAGTTCTTTGAGTAGAAGAATTGAAATCTGTTCACATTTTGGTTAGAGTTCATAGAGGGCGCTAGCTGCAGTAGATTGAATGTACTAAAAACGACATAACTTTTTTGTATTTTAAGGTATCTCATCTTTGGTAACAAATTCTTATTTTTCAATTTTTTTCACACAAAAATGGTGTGCTTTATTAAAGTAGCTATCTCGCATCGTTTTCGAGATATTTGGCTTTGAAACTTCCAATGCTGTTGCATTAAATTACAATTAAGTACCTACAGGTATTATTAATTTAGCGGTAAAGTTTCTTAAGTAGAATTTGGACGAAAATGAAATAATTGACGTCTTCCACTTGTCTTTTTGCTGTCATTTGTGTGCTAATTTCTATTAAGTATTATTCGTATCTAATTAAAATTACATCTTACCTTACAATTTATATTGTATACTCGTATACATAAATGTGAGATAGAATGCCTAGATTTTCGTTTTTAGAGTTACATGAAATCAGTTGTTTATGGAGAAACTATAAACACTTGAGAAAAACATTAGCAGCAGGTTTTAAATGCTGCAGCTGCAGTCATTTCGCATTAAGGATTTATATTTATACTTTAAGATAAGACAATCTTTTAATAAACGCGTTGATAAATGTGTTGAAGTTAGAGGTGGACATTTTGAACAATTATTGTCAAAAAGGCATATTTTTTACTAATGTTTATTATTTTACTGTTCGTTACAATTTTTAATTCTAAATAAACCCTTGTTTTTTGACATCTCTAAATTACTTTAATTAGGTATTTCAACTGTTAGCATTGGAAGCTTCAAAGCCAAATATCTCGGAAACGGTGCGAGACAGCTACTTTCATAAAGTCTACCTTCTTTGTGTAAAAAAATTTGGAAAATAAGAATTTGACATCAAAGATGAGATACCTTAATGTATAAAAAAGTTATGTCGTTTCCAACACATTCAGTGTCTACGGCAGCTGGCGCCCTCTATGAACTATAATCAAAATGTGAACAAATTTCAATTCCTCTACCCAAAGAACCCCAAACCCCAAAATTTTGTGTAGATATTTGCATTTATTAAGAAATAAATGGAAATAAACTAAAATAATATTTTACATGTAACACCCTGTAACTCTTTAACTATCCACTTTTGCTAAGTTAAGGTAAGTTCGACTAAATCGCAATAGTTTTACTTCGGGAATCTACCCATGAATTTTGGCCAATTACCTCGGGACCACCCTGTATATAAAAAATTCAAATTTTCACCAAATTTGAACCTTTACAAAATATGAACACGGTCATTCATTGTTAGTTTACATCATTAACAGTTGGTATACATTATAAACTAATAAAAATTATTTATAAGTTTACGATGTTACTAACTGCATTAGCGAAAAGAAATACCATAGCATTATAAAAGGCGCCTTGGTTTATGAAACATTTGGAAGATATTACAAATATAGAATGTTATTCGCAAAATAAATTCGTCAATGTTTCTGAAACTTACGTACACAACACCACAAAATTCCCGTTTATAAAATATTTGTCACGTAGTACAGCGATATAGAAAACGCATATTTTAAAAAAATATATAATAAGAATAAGATAAGAGACTCTACACACAGAAGTATTAAAAAAGTTTATAATACCCCTTTTCATGCAGCGAAACTCATTGTTGAAGAGGATAAAAAAACTATGAATGCCGTTTATAAATCCTGGATTTCTATAATTCTATAGCCAACATATTTAAAAATAGCGGGAGGGCCATTTTAATAATACTAGAGATCTTGTATTGAGAACTCCGAAGACATAAAAACAATTTTAGACTATTGTCAGATTTTATTCTTTGTTGACATTATTTTCTTTTGAACCTTATTCTTTTCTAGGCGCCATATTGAAATTTATGCTGAACGAAAACAGCGTTTCTTAAACTTAACGTAGGTCGAAATATGCTTCGTTTCCGAGATACAGAGTGTTTAAATTTTAATTTTTTATTTATTTTTATTATTTCAGACTTTTAAAGATATTGCCTTGAAATTGGAAAAACGATTTGGAGGGATAAATGTACATTTTTGGGGTGATTCCAATATTTCTATTTACACCAGTGGCGTCCGTGTGAGAATGCCACAACCTTAAAAAAAATGGTACGCCACTGAATTTTTCCGTTTTAATATTGTTTTAGAAATCAGCCATCAATTCTGAGATTAATTGGTCTCTTCAATTTTTTTCGTAGGATGCACCGTTTTTGAGGAAAAACATATTTTATTGGAGGTTTTGTTAATCTTTTATTTAAAGGTGCAAGTAGAAATATTCGGATCACTCTAAAAAATGCACATTTATCCCTCCAAAGTGCTTTTCAAATTTCGAGTCAATATCTTCAAAACTATGAAATAATTTGTGTACTAAGAAAGTTACCCTTGAAGTATGTACCCTTTTTTCCAGACAATACAATAATAATAAAACAATTTTAAATTTTAAGGAATTAATAAAATGTCGTCTATTTAATCGAATGTACTTTATCGAATGTACTACTACAACAAGTGATGTGACTAATTTATTGAAAAAAACTAAAAATATTTGATGTACTTAACAGTAGGTATTTTAAAAGCAGTTGTTCTGGAATCTAGATAAAAAGATGTTTGCAATCTGGCACTTAAGAATTATAAATGGACAATGTTTGTGTATGTTATTGTTTACAATAACAAAGCTGCGATTTACTTTTTTTTAATTTAACTAAGGGTAGGATTCCACATACCTGTCGTTACCAAAATCCTCGGATTTTTGTTTTTGCAGTTTTCTGTACAGACATTTCCACATATTTTCTTCCCGTATACATTCCATAATGAAAACTGTCGGACAACCGACAACCACTGCAAAAAATCAATAAAAACTATCACGGACAACAACTACATACAAGCACCGTTCACTAAAATACACCCACAGAACTAACTGATGATAACAGCGTTTCACCAGTTTTGACGAAAGTTGAGAGAACAGTGACAACAAAGCGGGCGAGACTGTAACAAATCGGGTGCAGATTTCTTTTAAATAGTGCATCGGGATTTACGACTCGAGCCAGAGGTTTTCCAGATACGTAGGTCTGTCTGTACACCTCCTTCCTGCTGGTTTTATTCATTTCAGACCTTGATTTATATGCACGCATGATGTTAATTAAAACAGAAAAAAAAAACGTATGACTGCTCACAAATTAAATCTGCTAAGTAGGGAACTACATAAAGGCACCTTAGTTCCCAAGTAATTTCGATCAGATTAATTAGAGTTAATTAGAAACATTTATAATGTGGGCTAGTTCAATCTGTGGGTTTTTCCACGTGCTTTTGGGAACAACTGTTGAGCTAAACTGTCGATTACAGTGAAAGCGGTATATTACCCCTCCACTTCAGCAACTTATTCTTTGAAATGAAATTTCAAAAGTTCCAGATTGCGAAAAATAAATACCCCTACACCTCTTGTGTAAACTAGTACTCGTTAGCCTTAAATGGTAATATTTTATAGGTAAAAAAATTTGCAAGAAATGTATTACAAAATGTTTGCACTAGTAGAAAAAAATTACTTTTTGGTTTCCGCTAAATGTCGAACATTTTTTAATGTATTTTATACAGGTTATACTACATTCACATTAAAAAAAGGACTTTAAAATATCTTCATGAAACGTTATGTCCATTAATATACAAAAATCCACGATTAACTCATATACAGGGGGAATCATAATTACGTGTAAAAAATTTGACCAAACCTTTCTTATATTAGATCTCATATCAAAATAAAGCAAATAAGCTAATACGAGGTCTGTTCAAGAAATAACAGAACTTTATTTTTAAACTTTATTATTAATTTTATACATTATTGGTCCTTGTGTCCTTCAAAGTGCTCCCCTCTCATATTTATACACTACCCAGCAGTGTTTTCATTTCGCAAAGCAGTCCTTCAATTGAAATGACCTTTAAAGTCTGTGACGAATTTGCTTTGATGTCATCAATAGTCTGAAAATGGCGTCCTCTTAGCACTGATTTTAATTTCGTAAATAAGAAAGAATTGGAAGGAGCCAAGCTGAGAGGAAGGAGGGTGAGGAAGGGAAATAATCTGATTTTTTGTACAAAACTGAGGAAGAAACCATGAGTTGTCTCGCCACGGCTTTGTTGACATTTTTGTTGTCATAAAAAACAGTGAGCATCACTTTGACATCGATTTTCTTTCTGTTGTTCGGTCATCAAACGAGGAACATGTAACAAAATCCGGGATTCGTGATAGATTATTTGTTAGTTCTCGGAACGGATGGGACCCATTAAGTCAACTAAACATTACTAAAAAGTTAAGGGTTTTCAAGTAGGTTTAGCATCGCCATAAAGTCGTTGAGAAACTGGTGCCTCTTGTCACCGGGAGTAATAAATTTGCAAAGCTCGACTATCGCAATCCTTCGGAGAAGGCCTCATGAAATCTACAATGATTTTGAACAAGTGGACTTAGATCGTCGGGGCCATGTGTTGGGCATCTGGTATCGACTAACTGCGTCGGTTTAGCCCATGGTGAATGGCGATAATAAAGCGCGAAATACATTCGAAAAAATGTAGAAATTCCAAGATATTTAAATAAGTTGTTAGAATGTTGTGAGAAAAATAATAATAGATCAAATAGCTTGTTTTTAGGCAGATTTTTCAAGCTATAAGAATAGATTAAATGAGATTGACTAATCCATCCCGTGTTGCTATACGGAGTCACAAGAGGAAGGTGTAGGGTTACTTGTAAGTTCAGTTTAATCAGAAAATTATCCATACAATTGTAAATACAGGCAATTAGGTATTAACATGGTATAGTTAAGCCATTTCAACCCCCGATATTCAGCGGGCCCGCCAATAAGAACCGAAACTTCTGTACCCAAGAAATAGACGTGTCGAATAGAGGTGTCGAATTCAAGAGATCTCCAAAAAAGGCAGTTTTCTCCTTGGATTCCACACTGGCAGTTTTCTTAATTTTAGAGTCTCGGGTTAACTTAATAATGGATAAAGTCTTTCCAAATTTTGCTATGAATTAGCGTTGGGTTCCCTGAATCTCGGATTGCGTTATCGCGTGTAAATTAATTAATAATGTTTGTTCGAATACGTTGTGTCTTCGTTATTTTATTTGTTTGTTTTGTTTTTATTGTTATTAAAAACCTTTCTCAAAGTTTTGGTGTTTTCTTGCTCTTCCAAATTAAGTGTCCATCAAGTGGAACACTCTGTATAACCAACACCTGGATTATACTCTTCGTGAGCGATGTACGGTAAGTGTCTAAAATTCATTCTCTGAACGTACAACATTTTTAAGTTCCCAAGTATTAATTAAAGTCCCTTTCGACAAGTAAATAGTAAACTCTTTTGCTAGTTAATATCGTTATGGTACTGATCATAACGATAGATGGTATGGTTAAATAAAGAAATAACCCTTCAGGTTTACAAACCAATTTTGCTGCAATTCGTTGCATGCTTGTTCAATTTTTCAGTCAAAATTTCATGGCATGACCCAATTGAGATGCTAAACTCTTCTGTAATTGCTCTGACAGTCAATAGATGATTTACAGGCACTAGATCTGACTTTCTGTATGTGAGAGTCACCAATTAGAAGTCGAAGGCTTTCCTGATCGAGGATCATCTTGGCAACTGACTGACGACCACTTTTAAATAGTGAACAGCATTCGTAATATTGCGTACGACCCAGAGTATCATCTCCGTAAGTTTGTTTCAAAAGTAGAAACGTTTCCGTGAAAGTTTTCTCCAGTTTCACGCAAAATTTTACGTTGCTTCGTTGTTCCAGAAAATCGCACAATTCAAAAATCGTCACTAACACTTAAACACGTTGTATTCAAATAACAACATCACGAAAACTAAATGAGATATCAACAGTCCAAGAACATGCGGTTACAGAGGAGGCTACGCGCAGCACAATGCTACCAACCGCATATCACTAAATATCTCTATTAGCGCGCAATTCAAAAAGTTCGCTTATTTTCTGAACAGACCTGGTATATCTCAGCACTAAAATGCTTCTCTATAAAATTCTCTAAAATGTTTATGTTTAATTTTAAGATATTTCAATGGATCTTGAAACGGAGATCTAGCCGACCTTAGATACAGGGTGTCCAAACCAAATCCACCATGAATAATATTTTTTTGAAATATTACTGAAACATGTTAAATATAGTTTTTAGGGGAACATATTTTAAGGGAATATACATAATTCCAGTCTGATCCTTCTAACAGTGACGGACTGCCTATATTTAGTGACCCTCGCTTTGAAAGACCCTGAAGATATTAATATTAAGAACAACAAATTTTATTGTATTTTTATACAAACTCCATGAACAATTTGGTAATATTCGAGAATAAAATAGGATAATATAAAACATGTAAATATAAAATAGTCATGAAATAGCCTACCTAATAACATTTTTGTTTGTCATATTTCGTTGGAATTTCTCAAAATAATATTAAAGAAGGGGAGCGATGACGGACGTATTGACAGACGTAAAACTGTGAATTTAAAAATGTATTTCTAAGCTGGTGAACATGTACAAATTGGAAGATCTATCTTTAGAATTAAATAATAAAATAATATGCCACTTAAAAAACAGATGACTCTAATTATTTTCCAATATTAAATATGCACAGGATATTTCCAAATGATCTAAACTATTGACAAAAAAAATAAGTTGAATTTTTGCATTTTGAGAAACACTTCAGTTTGATTAAAACGTAATTTTGTAAAAATATTCATCTCTGTGTAAGCGAAATGCCATTTTTGTATAAGAAATTAAAAAATTGTATTAGAGACAGTCACATATACCAAATTTTAAAATGATCAATCTATTTTGATATCTTTTGAGTAAAAAAATCATCGCAAAATTAAAAATTATTGGCATCAAATTTGAGACGTAAACATACATTTCTAAGCCAATAAATTTATTTCCAATTTCTTATACAAGTACAGATACACAAGACAGAAAAATAAAAAAAAAATAAAAATAAACTAGACCAACTGCTTTACTATTTAGAATAGGAGAATAAATTTTAATTCTAAACTGCGTTTGTTAATTAAATTATTAATATTTTTTACAAAAAAGGCATTTTACTTCTGACAGTACTTACTTTTTAAAGTTAAAATGTTTTAGTTTTCCCGAAATCCCGAGTTCGTATTTATTTTATTTATTCATATTTTTATTTCTGCTCAAAATGTTTTTATTAGCATTAGGATTAAGACCATCCACAGACATCCCATGCATATTAAACGTTGGGAATGGACTGGTTGTTTACATTTTTTAACTGTTACTGGCACAATGTATTAATTGAGATCTAAAAATAAAAAAAATCATCGACTGTATTTTTATTTCTATTTACCTGTTTTCGACTCCCTCCATGGATACACTAATATAAACAAAATAAAATGGGAAACGACCGTATTGTACAATGCGCTAAATCTATGTCTAAGCGAATTTGGAAGAACAAGTAAATTTTATACCGCACTAAATTATATGGTATACGAAATGAAAAGTAAATAAATAAAATGTAAGCAAGTTTAATTATCAAATTGTATTGGGTACAGCGTATATAGAGGTTAGAGATGTTACAATTCGAAAAAAAAAAAGAGGAAAAGTGGGAAAAAACCTTTCCCGAAGCAAAAAATTAGAAAAATTTGAAAAAACTCGGTGCAGACTTACAGATATATTTTTCTGTAATAAAATACAGTGAAGAAGAAAATAAAATATTTTAACAAATCTTTTATATTCTTGATGCCTTCAAATCTCAAATTAGTCAAGTTTAAGAACAATTTAATAAAATGCCACTAAGTAAAATATTTTATCTAAACTGATAAAAATTAATCATATGTGATGCTACTGAATCTTTTGCTTCCAAAGCAATATGAACATATTCAAAATAATATGTATTTTATTGTAAGATGGTCTGATGATTTCTTTATTAAAAAGTTTCTAAAGGTTACTTTTATTAAATAATATATTATAAGGTTTCCATTGGCAAGCAAAGTAGAACTCT